ACATTAATAGCAGAGCACAGATGTAAACAAGTCTGAATTCAAAATTGGTGTTGGAGCAGAAAACAACGAACATGTAGTGCCTGTGAGCAGGAATTTGAACATTTGCTGAACATACTTTATTATGCTGTTTTTTTGATGATTTTTATATATATATATATATATATATATATATATATATATATATATATATATATATATATATATATATATATATATATATATATATATATATATATATATATATATATATATATATATAGTATACATAATATTATTTTAACATTTATTTAAATATGATTATATATGTGTTTATTGTTATTTTAGCGTTTTGATGTTTCTAATATTTTTAACGGCTGACATAAACTCGAATAAAACAATGTAAGGTGAGTTTTATTTTTCCATATAATATTTTAGAAAAAATGACGTATTTTAAAAAATGACTTAACTCAAAATGACTTTAGTCAAGGTATCATTGTACTTTTTTAAAAAAACATTGTTACATTGTTAATTTCTGATTTTATTAACAAGACGGAAAAACTTTTTTTTCATAGTGTTCAATAAAGTTTAACAATAATATTTGCTTATTTTAGAATGTACAAATATTTAATATAATTTTATTAGTTAATGTCAGTATATTTGTTGTAAAGATAATGTATGTAGTGATTAATGAACATATAGTTGAAAATTTTAATAATTTTTAATAAATGTCATTTTTAATAAATGTAATTTTTAATTAATGTAATTTTTAATAAATATAATTTTTAATAAATGTAATACATCAGTGGTCTTTATTTATAGAATTTCAATTGAAACATCAATTATCAATAGCTTTTCTGAAGAGTTCCTTGGGGAAATATCTTTTGTGGATTTATTAAGCAAAAGAAAACAATTTGAAATGTATGGCAAGACAATAATTGTTAGGTAATTTAAATTTCAAAGGTGATATATTTCTGCTATTAAATAACCACAAATATTACCTCTGCACTATTTTGTGTAATCAAATTCAAATGTAGAGAAACTTTTGTTTGCAGCGAGTGAATAGCAAACAGTGTATACAAGTAGGGAAAGAATAGAAGGGGGAGTAGTAGCAGTGGATATATTGGGTCAGTTTTTGATGAAGAGAAGGGAATTTAATTAAAATATTTAGGTAAGAAAAAATGTAGAATAAAAAGGATGAACCAATGTTTTATTCCAGAAAAACTAAAATGGAAATCATGGCTCATTTCTCCCAAGTCTGAACAAAAATCTATTTTAGTAGAAAATAAATAAACTCAGTTTCATATGCTTCAGAATAAAGTCCAAATGCACAAAAATGATTAGAAAATCATTTGGAATAAGTGTTATTAATTTGGAAAGTGATATATTAGGTGATTTTATTCATAATGAAATTGTGTTTAAGTGATATTCTTGGTTGAATGTTTGAATTCACTGTAAGATAAAAAGAAACAAATTTTAAAACATTTTTTAATTTACATTTTCTATTTAAAAATTGTTTTTGTATAATTCATTTATGACCTGATTAATTTCAATTTGTTTATTGATTTCACCAAAATAAACAGAGAAATTTAAATGAAAACCTTTAAAAAATGAGATGATCTTTGATTAGATCAATGGCTTTGTCTGATGATTGCCAAGCAGAGTTATTCATTGAACTGCTCAATTCCCAACCACACATGCTTGACAAAAAAAAAATGTTTTGATTGAAATAAGAATTTCTTGGATTTGAGTAACAAAATTTTGACTTTTGTTTTGTCTTTGGTCTGTAAATATTATTTTCTAATTGCTTTTGTCTAGAAAGCAAAGAAAATGACTTTTATTCCCTTCAAACTTTTCTTTTGTGAGCTGGACATCGATATTTTCAAACTAATCTATTTTCAATTACATTCTAGACAGATTCAGCTCTGAGTTGTCAGAGGAGAATTTTTTAAAACTTTCTAGAAGTTTCAAGAAATTTCAAGAACTTTCTAAAAATTCAAAAATTTCTAGAATATTCTCACAACTTAGATGGCAGTATAAATACAGAGGACATAAGCTCAACAGTTCTGTTTACTTTTAGCTGTCCAAGTGCAGACAAGTCGTCATTGATAAATACATTCATCGTTGATAGATGTATTCATCACAGGTGGCATCAAGAGGGTGTAAGCATCTGTCAGACGCATTTCGTTGTCTGTGTCTAAGAAAAGAGTGAAAAAAGTATTCTTTAGAAAATAGAGCCATGAAATTTGAAGTCCCATGAACCAACTCATCACTCAAGCAATTGCTTCTTCAGCATGGTGGACCCTTTCCTTTCAAATGCAGAGCTGGCATAGACCTGCTATCATATATCCAGACCTTTTGTCATTCATCATCCCAGTGCCACACTGACCTGAACTACCCACCAAAGCAACCATCTTCAGAAAGGAAGAGCAATTCAGAAGAGGATGAAGTCATTGATCCAGATCACAGGAGCACAGCTGAGGAGAGTAACTCACATGACAGCAAAAAAAAAAAAAAAGACTTCAGCCTGATCAGAGATCCTGATCTCACAAAATTCAATACTGAGCTTTTGACATCAAGACTCAAGCAGTGGAATTTGTTAGATGAAAGTATGCAAGTCAGTGAAAGGATCAATGTCTTCAATGGATCACAAATAAATATCATGGAGTGCAAGGAATTCCCCAAGAAGCTCACTAGGGTAGAGAAAGCCGCATAGAACAGCTTTGTCACAGTGGTTCAGGGGCTTCCTGGGGAATAACAAGACTGAAAACCATGTGGAGCTTGTGAAGAACTACAGCAAAATGGGTCGAAGGATGTCTTTCAAAGTCAATATCCTTGATGGTCATCTTGATAAATTCAAGGAGAACATGGGATTATACTCAAAGAAGCAAGGTGAGCACTTCCACCCAGGATATACTGGACTTTGAATGCTGCTACCAAGAATCATATAATGAAAACATGATGGGAGACTATATTTAGGGGCTGATTTGTGAAAGTAATTTACAGTATAAGCATAAATCATGAAAAATTACACACTTCTAAATTTTTGTGGTCTCTCTTGGATAATTCTAATAAATACTGCTTTTGAAACATGTGTTGTTTTGTTCCTACTTTGCGTAAATGAGAATGTTTGCACTTTTCAGTTTTCCCAATGTAAATAGGTAAACTTCGGAAATATCATTATCTTGGTCACAAAACCAAAGTTGGAAGGAAATATTAGCCATTTTTCATACTTTTTAGGTATAAATAAATAGAAAATAACAGTTGCTACCCAAGGACAAAAAAATCGTGTTACACAGTGTTACGCTTCACAATTGATGCTGGAAATTTTTTTATGTCTAGGAATGTAATAAATGAACAGATGATTTATGGAACTAAATTGTTATACTTTTATTTTAATTAAATTCAATTAAGGAAAAAGGACACCTTTAGAGATGATTCCACTTGAAATATCAAAGTAACATTCATTGATTTTCCAATATAAATTTCATACCTGAAAATAATATACAATCTTTTTGCAAAAGTTTTCTTTGATATTCTATAAATATTTGGCCTAATACAAAGTTACTTTCTTTCAATTATATAGAGAATTGATTTATTATTAATGGATGTAAAGAATTAGATAATCATATCTGCATCATAAATGTGCATCTTGTCGCAGCCAAAGACTTGTATGCTCACGTGATAAACTTGTAGAGGCACCTTCATTAGAAATTCCTGAAGTTCCCATTGTATCTATAAAATCCAGATGTCTTCGGGAACTTCCCACTTCACTGCACTCAGATGGTGCTAAAGTAGGCTGCATGGTGAGTGAACGAGTTGGAATGCTTGTTGAAGGGCTCAAAAGAGCTGTGGAAGCAGTGTTACAGGTTGTTTCAATCTGGGAAGCTTCCATGTCTTTGTGGTTCAGTTGAGCAATTTTTTTCTGAAGGTCTTTTTCTAAATTAAATTTATCCGCAATGTCCCACAAATAAACACTGGCAAAAACTGGTGTTGTCACTGGTTGACTCCAGGCAACAATCGTCAGTATTTTGTAAAACTGAGGGTTTAAAGTGAAATGAACATCAAAAATTGTCACTGCAAACAGTGGAAGCCAGCACATCAAATACATTCCAGTCATGCCCATTAGCATAAACACTCTCCGACGGTGATTGTCTATAAAAAATGGTTGCACACCTGAATGTAATTCGTCTGTTTCAGCTTCCCATAGCATGTCTTTTTCATCATGACCAGGAAATTCTTCTCTGAGCATCGACCTTGGAGAATAAGCATGATACTGTACTTTCTGGTGCAAAAACCAGAGGCCAACAGAAGTAAGAATGATGGCAAAGACAATAAGGATTAACCAGCAGACATGTGTAACAACACTGCTTGGAATGCCCTGTTTAAATGCGCAGAAACCAATATCTTTGTTATAATGCAAACGGCTGGGCAAAAAACCAACACCAAGATGAATAAGAATGCTGGCAAACCAAATCATAAAAAGACCAAAGCTAATACAAAGATAATTATTATAATTCTGTTTGTAATAAATCATGTGATACTCTTCATTTACAACAATGGCAAATAGATTGTATGCTGATGCTGTCATGAGAATAATGTAGACCGTTCCAAACCAGTTACAATGTGGTATTTCTTCCCGATGTTGTAGACTGTAGCCAAGAGTGACACAAAAGGCAGATTTGATCAAATCCAGCAAACAGTGATGAGAAAGGAATGCTGTAGCTGCATGTCGGAGTTTGCTGAACATCAAAACTGCCAAGAGCACAAGAGCATTACCAAACGTGCCTACAATGGCAATGGCATAGACAATTCCCCCCTCAGCATATCTGGTGTCCAGATCTGTTTCATTCCAGCCAGCTGGAGAGCTGGTATTCATAGAGTCTATGTTCAGGATATGTACCATATCTTTGTATATACTCAGCCACTGGTAATTAGCTTAATGTTGCCCCAAAACAAAGGACCAACTAAAAACAGTGGGGACAGTTCTGCAATTGGTTTAACTTGCTTGATTACACAATGACCAATAGAAAAATGAGAAAGGATGAAGCTGAAAAAAATAAGAAAAATAAAAAAATTTCAGATAATTTTTAGATATTTGGAGGAGTAAAAGCAAAAACAAATCATAATTATTTGTTACAAGTGGATAATAAAATATTTTTTATCAATTGAAATATAAAAGTACAAAATGTAACAATTAAAAATGGAGAAATTTGATGATACTCTTTGTCTGAATTTTAGGGATGAGGAGTTATTATTATGTACACTCAGAGTATTGTCCTCACCTTTGTTCTGTCCTGGGTATGATGATAAACTACATCTGCATCCTGGGTAAGACGATAAACTCCATCCAACAGCAAGGCCTCTGGAGGTTTTGGTGAGCATGGAACCACCTCTTAATTGCTGGTGTTCCCAGATCCCCCCCTGACCTGGGGTAGTAGCACCTGCTAGAGTTCCAGCTATGAGTAACACCCAAACTTGTGTCAAAATACTATAAAAGTGTAAGAATAAGTTTTAATACCAGAAATGCTTTGTAAAAAATTACCAGCAATAAGTTTTTGAAGGAAAAATTATTATCAGCAATAAAAACAGCTATACATTTTTTGGAAAAAACATTACCAGCTACACATTTTTTGAAGGAAAAATATTCCCAGAAATAGATTTTTGAAGAAAAAATATTACCAGAAATACATTTAAAAAAAAAATTATTAGCAATAAAAATTGTCAACATTAAATAACCCATTAAGGTTTATATGCCTTAAAATGAACCAAACCGTAATCACCTTTGTTGTTATTATCACAGTGTTTTGGCTCCAGGCCTTCATCAAGTGCTTATCAACCTATCAGATAACCTTCATGGAATTTTGAACTGGACCTTTAATTAATTAATTAATTAACATTAATTAATCTACAATAGATTGCTCTCATTCTATTATCTATGTCTAACTTATTTAGAACTGCTCAGTTATTGAATGCTCTGTTTCTATTGAGTTTATGTATGCACTACCCAGCCCAGGGATTGAACTTACAGTTACTCCAGGCTCTAAGATCTAGACTCTGTATTGTTCCATGGGACAATAGTAGATTAAAATATTGGTTTGTGAATTTGATGACGATAATTATCAGTTCAATCGTTCAGCTGGGTATTCCAGACTTAAACTATATGGAAACAGAATGAATAATAACTAAATAAGATGTGATATCCTTAGATATCCTTTCAAGGACTGAACGGAAAGGATTCAGAAGATTCCGTACAACATCAGGGCAATATTCAGGAACAGTAACAATCAGCAGCAGCAGCAGAAGAAGAAGCAATTAGAGTAGGGGTTAAAGTACCAAGATCTACACTCAGGACTGTTCCATGCGATATTGGCCTACTGGATTAAAGGGTGGTTTGTGAATTTGGTGACATCGCAATTGTGAGTTCAATTCCTGGTTTGGGCAGTGCAAACTTAAAATATGTGGAAATAGAGAAAGCAATAACTAAATAAGAATAAGATGGGATATCCCTAGATATGAAAGCAGGAAAACTGTTAATTAAATAAAGAGTACAGATTAATGAGCAATGGATAAAGGCTGGAGGTTATAATAAAAATAATAACAAAGATGAGGACAACAGCCTGTGTGTAAATAATGCAAATATTGATTATCCTCTCTTGAATGTTGTACAGTAAATGTATTTTCTCTTCACATAGTTTTAACAAAATTATTGTTTTTTATTTAATAATATTTGAATTAAAATTATTAAAGAAAAAAAGATTTCTCAAATGTTTCTAAAAGCTGTATTACCTTAAAAGTACCAAAATGATAATGAATTTGCTTATTTTTAACATCATCGGTAACGGTAATTATGAAGCTTAATTTAAGAAAAATATTTAATTTACAATTTAGAAGCATCAAAATATTAGACAAGTCTTTTAAATTTTAGTCAATATATTTATAATATGTTTTACAGTTTACTAAAAATTAAATTAGTTTTAACAAAAAAGTCAGAATCTTTAAAATAGTGATTTAAAATTACAATATTTCATATTTGAGAATTTTTAGTAGACACAAAATATGCATCAAAGAAACAGTGAAGCACATGATAATAAATTCATTATGGGAATGATCACCATATAAATATTAATTATCCTCTCCAATGTCTTTGACAAGGTGTAGTATAAAAGGTTGCTACAAAAACTCTCTAGTTGTGAATTCTCTGCAAGATTCTTTATAACTATCAAGGTCATCCTACTAGGTATGTCCTTGAAGGTCACTGTTGAAGGTTACATGTTTCTGAGGCATCACAACTCAGTCCTACCCTTTTCTGCTTTCTTTTAATAATCTGCTGAAGAACCTTTTAATATGGTTAGTAAATATCTATGCAGATGATACCACAGTCTATGGATGTGCCTCCAAAAATCTAGATGAACAGAGCCTCTCATCTGACCTAGCTGTAACAGCCCAATGAGGAAAAAAACTGGCTTGTAAATTTCAATATTTTCAAACTCAAGATAGTATCGTTTCTTCATCAGTAAGCTGACCCTAAATTCTTACCGGTCAGAATAAATGGTTGCACTTTCAATTAGGCTCCTTACTTTGAGTGTCTTTTTGGATTCAAGTTCATTCCAGACCTCAAATAGGAGTCATATATACAATCCATTGCTAAAGACACTGAGGGGTGAATTGTGTATGCTTTATACCCATCCAGAAACTACTTGACTCTACTATGCTCTTATTTTTACAAGAGTCAGATCAGAGCAAAAAGGGATTTTGCTGTCATATCCAGCCTTGACAAAGTTGAAAGAGTTTAATGGCCTTGTGGGTGATGAATTATTTCCCACCTTATAACCCTTCTCCCATAGACACAAAATTGCAAGTCTCCTGTTACTCTATTGCCATTTCCAGGGAAATTGTTCTGACAAACTACATTCTCCTGTTTCACCAGTTCAGATAGACAGGAACAAGCTGTTGTCATTTTCTTCATATTACAGTGGAAAGAAGCAAGTTTTATTCAGACAGCTTCTTCTCAGGAGTCACTACTTTATGAAACAAACTCCAAAGAGGATGCTTTCCTGAACATTCTTCAAGTCTACGTTCAACAATTAACTATCCTACTGTCATAATCTGCCCTTAATTCTTTCTTCTACATCCATACAACCACCTCATTTAGTAACACTCTACTTTGAGTGGCTCTCAGCTTTTGTATTAGGTAAACATTTAATTAAAACAAAAGATTTTTCAAATGCAAAGTTAGAAAAATGTGCCATTACCAGGAAAAATTTAAATCACGGAAGGAATGGTCCAACTAAAGGAAGAAAGTTGGCAGCATAAGCTTCCTGGAAATTAAAACAAAAAGATATAAAAACATTTTCAACATGGTGGCATTTAAAAATTTGTACAAGAATCATTTTTAAAATTACTAAACAATAACAAAAAAAATCTATATAACAGAGAAATCATAGCTTATTTAAAGCAAAAATCCAAAATTAAAATGTTTATTGTAATTCTGAATATATTTGCAAAAAAGAATTATTGTGGTTTATCATCTTCCTATTGTAATAAAACATGATTAAACAAGAACAGAGAACGTTAATTTTATTGACAAAAAAATTATGACTTATTTGTGTTTATTTGAAAATTAGGTATATTTAGTAAAAAAATATACTTTATAGTTTTTAGTACTAGAAAGAACAATAATAGTTGACTTGAGAAATCTGTTTTCCTGAAAAACTGTATTAAGAGAAAGATTTTATAAATTTTAACTGACAGTAAGGCTAAATGTTTGATCAATGAACACTGAATCCTTCTTATATGGAAATGGCTAATCTCGCCATTACTATTTATGTTACACATTATGATAATAATCAAGACTGACATGCTTTCAACACTCTGCGACCAATCTGGAAATCAACAGCCCTCTCACTTTACAACAAGATCCCTGGATCTTCAATGCTAACGTCAAGTTGGTCCTACTTTATGGCTCAGAAACCTGGTGGGTAACAAAGACCAACACCCACAAACTTGAGACATTTACCAACCAATGTCTCAGGAACATCCTCAATATCAGGTGGCCGGAAGTCATGTCCAACCCAATTGTGGGACAGGACCAGACAAGCCCCAATTGAGATTGACATCAAGAAACAGAAATGAGGATGGATTGGTCACACACTCCACAAACCTGCTTCTAGTGTCATTGGACAGGCCCTTGATTGGAATCCAGAAAGAAGTGAAAAATGGGTTAACCAAAACAGACTTGGTGCAAAAATATTGATGCAGAGGTGAACACAGCCGGCACAACATGGGCTGAGCTGAAGAGGATTGCTCAGAACTGCATCTCTTGTCTTGTTGTGACCCTATGTTCCCCAAGGAATCAAGAGGCATAGAAGGAGAATGATGACTATAATTTCCTCTAATTTGCATTGGTTTTTGTCATTGTCTCATATTGTAAAACTTATCTATTAAGATATATATATATAATATGGTGATTTTGTACTACATTGGAAAATGGCCAAATGCAAAGGAAAATTAAGATTAAAATTTTATTTTAAATTGCTTTGTATTTTGCTTATGTTGTAGACAACTCTTGTATTTATACCAAAATAAGTAAAATTTCATAAATAAGCAATAGAAAATCATTCTTTGTATCTATCTTCAAGGTTGAGAAACTTTGTTAACTTGAAATCAATGGAAAGTTTTCATTGTATCAAAATGTGAGAATTTTCAAAGCCTGAAAATATTTCAATTTTCATCCCTTCTTTTATATTCTGCAGCTTTTATTTCCAAGTTCCTCCTTTCATGAATGGAACAGGAAGCACATCCTGGCTATTCCTTTATTGCTGCTGTCAGAAAGCAAAACCATTATTGCTACAAGATGTTCTCTTTCTTTCTGTGAGTGCACCAGCAGCAGGGGGATCTGTTTCTTTTGGGAAAATTCTGCTTTAAAGCAAATCAATTTTATAGTATAAACAAAGACTAATATATTTCCATTTACTGCCTTTTCATTACGTATATATATCCATATATCTATCTATCTATCTATCTATCTATCTATATATATATATATATATATATATATATATATATATATGACATTAAAGAAAGATTGTCGACATATGCTTCATATAATATGCAGATATAAAAGGCTGGTGAAAGAAATTTGAGAGAGAAAAAAAATTTTCTCACCATGCTCCCCTTTGATCAAAAGGTCTACTAATATACAATAAATATTATTAGATTTATAATCAATATTATTATTTTGGTGTTTTTATCTCACTCTCTCTCTCTCTCTCTCTCCCTCACTCTATCTATCTATCTATCTATCTATCTATCTATCTATCTATCTATCTATCTATCTATCTATATATATATATATATATATATATATGCATCTATTTTGTACATTTCCTTCATATATATATATATATATATATATATATATATATATATATATATAGAGAGAGAGAGAGAGAGAGAGAGAGGAGAAATTATTAAATATTTTAGACAATTGGTAAAATGTCTAAACACTTTTACTGAAAAAATATGATTGGTAATATTTAAGCCAATTTTAATGATAAGGAAATTAAATAAAATATTTAGTTTTGTTTAATTTTAATCTTTGCTAAGTTTTGCATAAGCTCCCAAATTGTTTATGCTAAAATCTAACATCCAGCTAAATATTTTATTTTATAAATCTTGTTTCATCTAACATGAATCCATAATATTTAGTTATATTATAGGAATTAAATCCTCGATATATTTTTCCATCTATAAAATCCCATCAGAATGTTTGCTTGATAAACAATCATTACAAGGGCAAATACAACCAAAATACTTGGCAGACATAGTTTTAGATTTAACATGTGTTATTTCTGGACCATTTACAAAATAATAATAACTCCTTTCACTACTCCCACAAATTTGAGAAAAAGATTTTGTCAAGCCAGTGTGAAATTATTTTCTAACTAATGAAAACTTTGTATTCAAAAATTTCACATATCTCTGTCAAATTAGATTTTTGATCTCCTTTACAGATAGAAAAATAGAAGCATACAGCTTCTCAGGGTTCAAAACAATTTTGGAGATCAGTTTGATCTACACGTGTGTACACATACCTCCCTACACATGTGCACAATGAAGAGATGACAGCCAGCAGCTTTGACTAAGGCTTTATCTACAAACTCACAAACACATTAGAGTGATTGCCATAATGCAAGTCTGTCCACACATCTCACACTGCACTAAGAACACTTAATTACTTTATAAAACAAACTTCACTGCCAGGAAAATTGAACATTTTATTGTTATTGTATATTTCTGAAAAGAATATACAAATGTCATTTCAACTTACGTTCTACTTCTAATTTTCCTTCAGAAAATAACCTTTTTATGTTTCTCTTAAAAGATGTGTTGTTGTTGTTGTTATTAAATATTTAGAATCGCAACACTCAGATATCAACAAAAATCTGAGTAGACAGATCCCAACAATATCATTTTCTAGAGTTTTGATATTTCAGGAATTTTGATGCCAATATTCTAACAGATTTCAGTGTTAGAAAATTGGAATCAAAAGTCCCAAATATTTCATTTTTCAAATTTCCAGTTCTCATCAAGCAATAAATGAAAATCTAATCAAATTTTGCACTTGAAGATTTGGTAAGAAATGAAATCAATAAAACTTCATTCCAAATTGATAATCTGTCAACAGGAACTTTTGCAATATATGACAAGAGTATTTTTGAACCATACACATGTGCATGCATGCACACAGACACACACACGCATACACATACACATATATATATACATAGTGAGATGAGTGTGGCGGGGAGGAGAGAGAGTAAGAAAGAGAAAGGAAAGATGAAAATGGTTCAAAAATACTCTTGTCATATATTTCAAAAGTTCCTATTGACAGTTTATCAATTTGGTATGAAATTTTATTGATTACATTTCTTACCTAATCTTCAAGTGCAAAACTTGATTAGATTTTCACTTATTGCTTGATGAGAACTGGAAATTTGAAGAATGAAATATTTGGGACTTTTGATTCCAATTTTCTAACATTGAAATCTGTTAGAATATTGGAATCAAAATTCCTGAAATATCAAAACTCTAGAAAATGATATAACTAAATATTATGGATTTATGTCAGATTAAACAAGACATTTTAAATAAAATTCTGAGCTGGATGTCAGATTTTACTGTAAGCAATTTGAGAGCTTGTGCCAAACTTAGCAAAGCTTAGAAATAAACAAAACGAGATATCTTGTTTAATTTGTTTGTCATTAAAATTAGCTTTAAGATTACCAATAAATTTTTGTCAGAAATAACCAATAAATCTGACAGTTTAAGAATCACAATAAAAATCAACTGAAATAAGATGAAATAAATACCAAAAATTAATAATAATTCATAATTTAGTAAATCTGTTCAATTTTGTTGTACCCCATTCATCTAAATGATCAATCTAATTCCCAAAATATAATTAACTCCCTTGTTTTATGAATGGCTTTACTATTGGAAACCATGCTATTGCTTGCCCGTATTTTTAATATAATGTGCCAAAATTTCTTTCTCTTACTTTTTCTGTTATGTTGACTGAATTTTTTGTTGTGTCTATTTTTCTCATTTCTGAGGATTTGTGTTATGAAATGATTTTCAAGAACTTCTTTTGTGAACTGCTGAGAATGATTTTACATGAACTGACACAACCAACTTTTTCTATTGTAAAGGTAGAACATTTTTTTATTTAAAAAACAAAAATGGCTGACTTCATTAAAGCCTTTAAGTGGTGAGGTTTCACCTGAGCCAATTCAATAGTCTTTTTGCCTTTTTTGCCTTTCAGTAGCTGATACTAACAGAGTTTGTATATTCATCTCTGTAGTAGAGATTTACTCCTTTAAATGGTTTGCCATTCATGGGTAAAGAGTTTTGTCTATTTTGATTTGTGATGTTTCCTTCTCCTATGTTGACTGCTGGCCAAAGCTACTGAGTTCAACCTACCTGGTAGTTGTAAGAAACAGGGGTTTGAATCCAATTTTTTCCTTCTCTGACGCTGGCAGCTACCCAAAGTAAGAGAGACTAGTCTGTTCTACTATTTAATCTAAACCTGTGGGGAGATGAATTTATGTCTTTTCCAAGTGTGAAGTGAAGAAAACAGTCAGAATTTGAACTTGGTGTTCAGTTTTCATTACATACCTATAACTGGTTTGCTATCTGCACATTTAAGGCCTTGTTCTGGACACCAACAAACGGGTTTGGGAAGAAGAAAAAGAAAAGAAAAATGAAAATAAAAAATTAGAATAAAATGGAAAAGAAAATGTAAAGAACAAGAATGATAAATCAGTAAAAGAATAATTGAATAATCAAGGAAATATGAGAGAAAGGATTAAAGAAATGACAGGTGAGGTTCTTCTTTTAACTCTTAGAAAATCTAACCTCTATATATTATCAATGTTACAAAATTTGTGCAACAGTCTAAGCAGAGTATACAAACAATAAAAGAAGCTGGGTATCTGGTTAATCCCCCTTTGAATGTCACTGAAGCTAACAGAAAAAAAATAACAAGATTATATTGTAAAGTCCAGAAAAGAACACATGATTAAATCATTGTCAAATTTGGTGGTGGGAGGTTAAGGTTTTACAGACAATAAAGAATATAATATTTCCTATGTGGGACATACTGTCATTTACTTCTAAAAATTGTTTGTCCCTTAGGAAATTGTAACAGCTTTGCCTAACACCATTGGTCAAAACATTCAGCCAGATGTAAAGATACATCTTAGTCTCTTCTCCCAAGACTTTTCCATCACCAAAATAGGTTTAAGAAATCACAGAAATCTGAGTGAGAACAGCAGGAAGTTCCAATCAGTGGGATTACATTCCATTTTTGGCCTCCAATTTGACAACATATGCAGTCCCGGAGGAATGACTCTGCAGTTGTATGCAGTAAAAATGAAAAGCTGTGGCAGTTGTGTCAGTCTGGGAAGAGAAGAGAATGAATCACAACTTAGAGAAAGAAACTTGATACACCAAAGGACAAGCCAGCACAACTGATTGCTTACTCCATTGACTCATCTTCCACCAAAACAATCATGATTATTACCACAACAAGAATTCTTTAAAAAAATCTTCATAGAAAATGAAACAATTTCCACAATCTCAACCATCTGCAATATTGAACATCTCCCAATTTAAATTCTCCCTCTCCTCCTACACAATCACCCCACCATCTACCTTCCTCTTCTTTTTCAGCAACAGTACCAATCATATCATAAAGACATGTGCTCTTCCATAGAAAGCTCTGAGGAGAAGTAAGAGTCAACTTTCTGCATGTACAACAGCTCTTAAGCAATGTGTGAATTGTTTTGGGTACATAACAGATTTTGTTTCTAATGGAGGAGACAAATAAAGCATTTAAAATGCTGCCATCATAGGTTGATTATACGAATGAAAACGAGAAATATTAAAATTATATTTTCAGTTTAAATTTCTTTGTATATTCATCCTTCTCATTATAGAACCTTTAAGTTAAGTTTCTCAAGAGACATTAGAGATTTATCCCAAGAGGGCATCTTAAAAACTAACATGGGCTAAAGGTCCATGTGAAAAGGTTCATCATTGTCCTTTTTTTAGCTACACAACACAAGTAAATTAAATATGTCAGTCCTGTTAGCTAGTATAAATGGCCAAGAGCTGAAATCATACTTGTTCATGACCTTCAGTGCCTTCATGTGGGTGTATTGTGCTCAAGAGACCCATTTTATTGCAAGTGACTATGAAGATATTCTCTCAGGGAATATTCACCTCCTCTCAGCTTATTTTGATAGCTATTTGAGTAGTGTCTCTTGACTAATAAGCCACACTACCTGCTCACTTTTCTTTACAGACCAAGGAACCAAACTGTGTTCAGTATGTTAGCATAAAGGAAAATATGTTTTGCTTTATTTATGTTTATGTAACTAACAACAGCAGGCGGTTTTCTGCTTATTTTATTAGATTGAGTTCTCTATGTTATTGTCAGGTCGAGTAATTTGAGTGGGTGACTGGAATGCTATTTTATATTCCTTTGGAAATAAGTGTTATTAACGAATTTATTGCCAAACTTTAATTAGGTTGATAAATTTTAAAATTATCATCTGAAGTGGATATAATGAAATTAAGCAGATAAGATTGGCTTTGTTTTGATATAGTATTCTAGATATGTAAACAATTTCAGTAAAGAGGGTCAACTTATGATGTTTGAATTGTTCAAATGTTTTTAATGCAATTTATTTGGACCATAGGCTAGTCTGAGTTTAGATAAACTTAGATAAGGCTCAACTTCAGATGGCTGGTTACCAGAAATTCAACACATCCTTGTTAGATGTAAAGAATTTTCAGGACAATTAATAAAAACTGTAAAGCAAGAATGGACATGAACTGTGGTTGGGAATGAGTGGTGGGATAATCTGAAAAGTAAAATAAGATTGTTTGCTGCCAGTTGCAGTTGCTGACTCAACCTAGGTATCCTAGCAGCGTAGACGGCAATTAAATCCACTGGGGTATTTGGAAGATAGGTAGTGAAGTAGCTGAAGCTAATGCAAAAACTGGCCTTCTTGTTTTAGAAGAAGGATCAAACACTGGTAATTAGATTTAAAAAAATATCTGGTAGGCATTTTTGCAAATCAAATATGTCTATAGAATTACATGTAGAAGAACTCTGGAATGCAACACATCAACATGGCGCCAGTGTCACTTCTATTAGAGGAGGACGTTTGACTACAAGTGAAGGCATATGTGAACTTCAAACTACAATCAGAATATTTCATTCTGTTCAGTTTGACACTTATTTAGTTTAATTTCCTTGACTTGAGGTAATTCAAACTGGGTGTGAAGATCTGAAGATGAGATTCAAGAGTCATTGAAAAAAATTGGGATGGATAAGACTCTAGGAACTGATAACATCGATGTTGAATTATACTCATACTTGGTTCCTTGCTGGCACTGATCATCAACAACTGGATGCAGCAAGGAAGCATTCACCAATACTTTGCCGGTCGTTTTATGAAGTTGCTCTGCAAATCAAATATAGTAGAGATGAAATTAGTAATTTTCAGCCATTAGCTGTTAAATAAAGAGCTTTGTAAATTGGTTGCAGAGTATGCTGGACCATCTAAAAAAACCCAAACAAACATTCACTATGAGGGGTAAGACTATCTATATTCTGAAAAGTTCTTTTTGTTTTAGTTCCCCATGTTTATGTTACTCACTTAACTTCTGTACTCACTGTTAGATGATATAAACAAAAGTTATCCGCTGATTTGGAAATATTTTCTTTAGTACTTGCATTTTTTTTTATTTTACATTTCTTGTACATTTTCCCCATATCATTTTTTATCAGTTAACTTCCATATTAGAATCTTGGGTAGGGATGAAAACTGAGAAAATGATGACTTAAAAAATCAAAATGTTTAAAGATTCCATCATAGAAAATTTTCCTAAAAACTGAAATACTCTTTTTAAAACAAATTTTTAAGACAATCCCATTTGTGTTGTGCTGGAGTCTTTGTAAAACTTTTTTTTCAGTGTAGATACGTCAGCAATTAATCTTTATGGAAATGTAAAAATTTGCGACTTAAACATTTTTCAAGTAAAATTTACTCATGAAAATATTGGTGGTTATTACAAAAAGAATAACATTTTCTCAAAATTTTTTAATTAAAAGGACTATTCATTATAAAACTATATAATTAATGAATATGTACTGAAATTTCCATTCAAATTGGATAATTCCCTGATTTTTGGTAATTTAAAAAAGTGCTACTTTTCAACCCAATTTTCCCTTGAGGGTTTGTGGCTCCCAGGTTGGGAAAATTTGAAATCGGCACGTAGTAGAGAGGGGGGTCCTTGTAGAAAAGTTTCAGTGGGTGAGGACCTGAGACCCTTGTGCCGGCCCTGTTATGGGGAATATTTTCATAATATATTTTACAAAAATAAATGTTCTGGCTTTTCTATTTGCCAGCTCCCTTATGAAAAAAAAAGCTACTGGAGCTCTCCACACAGGAGTTAAAATTTTCCAATTTCTATACATACTTTCTATCTTTGTATTTGCATTTCTTTAGCTGGAAGATTATCTCTACATTAATTCTAACAAAATAACTGTTTACAATGGACACACACTATACAGCTATGATGTGCCTGCTATGCTTTTCACCATTTATTTAGTGTTTCTGATTCTTAAGTGTCTCTAAGCAATTTCTTCCTTAGATACACATTCTCCAATATAACTTGAACAGGTCACAAATGAAGATATCTGTTGTAATGGAATGTTCCACACTCCCTATTGCTTATGTGGACTGACTATATCAGTAGATATATATAGTGATCACAGGATATACCTGGGGGCTTGCTTCAGCAATTAGTTGGAGATTTGTTTCCAGCTGTGCTGGTCGAACTCTCTGCCTTTGGGCAGGGAGGAACCCAGATGAAGTTATGCCAAAGGGCAGAGTTTCATCTGGGGTGGTAGACAGCTACCCAACCCCATGTATATGGGGTCTATTGGGAATTTTTGCCCAAGCCTACGAGTTTGGTTTTACCCCACATTAAAAACGGCCTTGTGCCACATCCTGCCTCGTGTGGAGGTAAGGTAAATAACCTTGCTTCGGGAATTATTAGCCTGCTACCTGATTCCCAGTCTTTCAGTAGTGTATTCTCTTTTACAATAAACCTCTCTTCCTTCATCTACGCACGTGTTGCTGTTCCTTCACTTGAATACCACCTTTGTCTGTTTGTAACCTTTTTAAGGATACAACAATATCAAACAGTTCTTGAGAAACATATCAAAAAAGTATCTTAAATCTTCTTTCATAAGGGATTGAAATAGTATAACAATACAAAAATACACATTGGCTTTATGCCTTGCAATTCTATATGATGTATTTTCTGTCAAAAACAAATCAAATAGTGCATAATTTATAAATAGATTAAATGTTAATTTTGAATATAACTTAGATTTTTAGTAAAGTAATCAAATCAATTACTTTAATGATATAAAGAATAAATGAAAGCTGTTTGTACTTCAGAATTTTAACATTCAAAAGAAAAGCATTGAATGTGTTGCAAAATATTGTATTTATATCTATATTGATTTCCCTATTTACAATCTACACCATAAAACCTATTCATATAAATAATGAACAAAGCCACAAGAAACAGCAATAATGATGTTATATGAAGCTGGAAGGAAAATGTTACCATGGAGACAGAATGTTTAGATACTATTCCAATCTCTTGTAAATGGGGACATTTTTATTACAAACATTCACAAGAAACTCTTCATTTCTGAATACAAACCATTTATTGTTATTCAGGCCAATTTAAGCACAACATTTTCCTTTTATTGTGACATTCTTTTTATATAACACTTGCTTTCCACAAAAAAAAAAATATTCCTAGTCGATAAAAATGATAATTGGAGTTTTTTGGAATTACTTAATGAATGGAATCTCTTATTTTGAAAGTACTTGAAGTTTTTATCACAGCTTATTTTCAAATTCACCTGCATTTTTAGAATTTTATTTTAATATTTTAAATAACAATAAGTAATTTGATTATTGTAACAGTTTATTGATCTTTTATTGATCTTTTCTTATTAATGATTGATAAAATTGAAACATGAAGGATTTTTTGTTTGTAAAGGAGTTTTGCAAAATAAGCATCCTAAGATTCATAGCCAAATTAGTTATGACTGTTAAATTATGCTAATTTTAATTAAATTATGCTAATGATGTCTCAGTAAAATGCATTTGGTATCAGTTGAGAAGGGTTTATGAATGGTGAAGTTTTGTAACTAAGCAGGAGCTAATGTTATCAACAGGTTCTGACTACAATTAGCATTATGTATGTCAGGAGGATATCTGTGTTATATTAAATGTATGGTAGCAGAACAAAGAAGAAACGATAGCATTATGTATGTCAGGAGGATATCTGTGTTATATTAAATGTATGGTAGCAGAACAAAGAAGAAACGATGGAGGTTTAAGAAATAAACAATTGTATTAACATAAAAATACATTAAATGGTAAATTAGTGTAAATGTCTCTTGTTGAAAGAAAGAGATAAGTAGAATCATAAAAGTCATCCGCAGAGGTGTATGATAGGAGAGGGAGGGTGAGTTGTGACTGATTGTGGCAGCAGCCTTTGGCGAGTTGTCTTTGGAGATGGGAAGTTGTGTTCTGGCGAGCGTTTTGAATCCTGGCTGTTATGCCATCCAACTGCCAAAGATGTCCCTTTGATGGGCTTTTATGTCCTTTTCTTAGGCTCAGATTAGACCCAATTTTTATTTTGTTTCTTTAGGCGGGAATGTGTGTTATTGGGTGGAAATTCTGGAATGTATTTTTCTTTGAGTGTGTAAGTAAAATGGAAGCTGTGTGTGGAGCTGATCCATAGTTGATAGAATTTTTAGTTTCAGTTTTGGGTCTTGGAGCATTCACATCTGACCAGTGGTGAAAATTTGTGTAACATGAATTAGAAGAAGATCTGGTTTTAGAAAGATTATAACATCTGTTATGGATGAGTTATCTTATAACAATGACTGTTCCCACCATATATCAGCATACTTTATTTGAGTGTATATTGAAAAATACAAAATAAATCTTGATATATCACAATATAACACTACAGAAGAATAAGATGAAAGTTGAATTTTCAAGAGGCCACATGTCAAAGTTCTGATGCATATGAGAAATAGACAGAAAAAGAGTCTGGGAGGAAGTAAATGTATGTATGTTTGATTGTATCCCAATGTAGTAGCCACTGCTTGACCACATGGTGAAGGAAAGTATGTTTGTTTTCAATGTAGCAAGTACATTTTATCCATGTAAAGTTGCTAGCTAGTCTTGCAAATGTTGTATTTTATCTCTTGGTATGTTACAATAGCTGCAGCATTGAAGAATGGACAAAATTAAATTATTGACTGATTTTGGCTGATTCTCCATCTGTTTATATACACATCTATAAATCCACTTTGAAAAGCTGTGAGTGAATGAGAAGCAAGTGGTCTTATATTCTAAAGATGTGAAAACTTTCTGATTGATGGGGTTGAACTATCTATTTTTAGAAATGGGGAAATTTTGGTCTCCTTATAATTATTTGTTTATTTCTTTTCTTACATCTTGATTGTGAAAGCTTTCTGATTGGTTGGTCAAATGTTAGCTTTGTTTACCTGTTGGTTTTTATTATCCATCTACTTTTAGAGACGGTGAAATTTTAGTCTTATTATTTATTTTTATTGAGTTATTTCTCTATCACCATAGGATTTTATTTCTGCTAAAATTTACAAACACAGAGAGATTTAATGATTAGACAAATAGATAACTAAGAGGGTTTATGGATTTTAAATTTGTCTTTATTTTTTAATTTATTTAGTACCAAAGACATATTTAGGATGTTTCTTTTGTAAAAATCTGTGGAAACTGTTGACCATCTAAAACCTGGGTGATTTATGCTAATACCAAATGAATTTAAATATAGACATGATAGGGTAGTGAAATATCTGCATTGAAAGATATGAAAACATTATAACCTTCCCCATGCAGAAGAATGGTATAAACACAAACAACCACCAGTGCTAGAAGGTGAAAATGTTACAGTGCTCTATGATTTCACCACACTATATTAGAGATCAGATATAATAATGAAAAACTTCAAAAAGCACAAGTACTATATCATAGACAACATCTTGTCTGTTAAAATCATCCCAGTAAAAGAATTTGACAAACTTTCAAAATATAAGGACTTGGAAATATAAATTACAAGAATGTGTGGTATATAAGTACAACTACTATTCCAGGGATAATAGGAGAAAAGGAATGATTAGAAAGAATACTGGGACACACATTAATGGAATCCCAGAAAACCTATAGGAGATAAACTCCTATATTTTATGGCCAATAATTGAAGCATAAACAAGAGATGCCTACAAATAAATCTTACTAAATTCAATAAATACATA